ACAAATGGCATTCAAGACATTGTCAATGTATAATAATTAATAATAATTGCATATAATAAAATATTCTATTCTATTACTTGATGATGCATGTATTGAGTATAATCTGAATTGTTGTACGTCTGGGTACACCAGTTATTGAAATAAATATTTAATCTCTCACTAGAAATAAAGATCCTGTATTTGATATACTTAAACACCTATCTGAAGTGAAGAGATTTGGAATGAATGTCATGTTTATGTCATCACCGGATAAAAAAGGTATGGCTTAATTGTAGAAAATTGTAATGTTGACGACAACACTTTTTTTAAGGGTCTGGTCAATATTGTGTTTTTCAGACGTGCACAACAAACTACCCAGAATCCTATAGTGCGTTGTTTTATTGATTGTAAAACTTAGTAAGTGGTTTTGTCTTTGAATGAATGTAATGAAGACACTTGTTGATGAATACACTTGCATCGGTACCGGCAAAATCAGTGTCTACTATACAGTGAACTATTTTCTCCCTAAATCAGTATCACGGGAAAATTGAAAGCTTAGTAGTAATCCTTCTCCCACTTTAGAAATTTATATTAGCTATTTTTTTTCTTTCTAGTTTTGAAAGATCTTTTTGAGTACATGAAGTCATCACAGCCAGAAAAAGCAGCTGATATTGAAGTGTTAGCCAAGATATATGAACTCTGACATGTGTCATGTCCACACTTAATATATTCAGTGTATGTTTTCAATTATGTAACCGTGTTTATAACATGATTTTAGTAAAATAATGTAGAGACTATTCAATTTCACCAAACTGTAGTATACTATTTTGCCAGACAGAATAAAGATGATTTGTAAGAAAAGTCTTTTTAGTTTCAATTGGGAATTATTAATTTGAGTTCTGTTCATGTGTCTTGTAGTTTTTTGCTTGTGTATGCTTTGACCAATCATATGATGATTTTCTTTACTATTTGATCAAGTACGAGTTCTGACTTGATGATGAACAGAACAATTTCGTGCATGTCATATTTGTTATTTGTGTCTATTCTGAATTCCTTATTTATTTGCATAAAAGGACTATACTCCTTTGTAATTTGTCAAATTGACGGCTATTTTGTCTAAACATGTCCCGAACTGTTTCTCAAAGATGAATTGAGTGATTTCAACAATTTGTCACTGTAGATAATTCTGTTTATATTCATGTTCGTGCCAATATATTGCCTGATTCAGTTGAAAGGTTCACACAAGTACTATATTCATAGGTTGTGTTATTTTGTGTGACAAATCTGTCCAAAATCAGGATCATACATAGCGAGTAACAGGTGCACATAATTTTAACAACTGTTTCTCTGAGGTGGCTTGCATGATTTTGTTCAAATTTGGTACAATGGTTGTGCATTACAGTACAGTCCTAGCAACGACTGATCACTGCTAGGGTTGGACTTTGTTGATGAGTCACAAATAACAAACTGAAGTTTTAAGAAATCACAATTTGTTTATTACACATATAAATTAATTTACAATATAACAGATTTTTAATACACCGTCAACTATGGGCTTATTGATGTAAAGCTGCAGCAAGTCTCAATACACCATCAACTGTGGGCTCATAATATATATCTTCTTCAGCACCAATATCTATATTGGAGGTAACAAATATTAAACTATAAGTAAATTGCATAGTTAAACAAAATAAATGTGCACATGTACATTCCGTATGTTTTGCAAAAGAGATAAATGTATATATACCTGGAGTAGCCTGCCATGGACTGGAAAACAAAGAACACTTCCTTTTGACTCTCGCCAATCTTGTGATACATCCCATATCAATTAACATCTGAAGAGTAAATTATAACACATTTCAACTTTCATCGAAGTATAATTGATCAACTTGAGATGGGATGCATGATTGAGCAGAGTGATAAATGCTAATGTCGCATTCTCCAATGTATTTCAACCCACTTACCACCATAACAGAAATCTGTTAAAGGTCAACAAAATATGTATATGATATCATATGTCAAACAGTTGCCTTAGAATTAAATGGATTTTTTTTTAAATATATGTAAAAGAGAACATGCAGCCAATTAAGTCTCTTGTCAATGTACTAAATTTAAACAAAATCAGTAAAAAGTATTTCAGTAAATGCGAGAAGACTTGAAAAAAAAATGGCCGCAAGTCAATATCAAAGTTGAATGAAATCTGCTATAAAGGCATACCTGAGAATTGGTTGATGGTATGTTTAAATGTTGAATTTGGCACAGCTAAAACTATAGTAATCATGATTTTGGGGACAAAAATGGCCACAAGTCGATCACAGGTCAATGAAACAAAGAATAAATTGACCGGCATATGTCTCTTTATATCTACTTTTAACTAGGGCATGTTCGAAAAATGTCAAAAAAACCCAAACACAAGTTATGTGTGATGATGATTAACGAGAATACAGAACAATTTCAATAGGACATGAACATGATGATGAACGATTGTAACACTGATAAATTCATTGACAAATTGTCCATGCATAAGCTAGATGTTATGTTTTACATTAGTTTACCTTAAACAAGTGTTTGACAGAGACTGGATAAAGTACACCTTGGTATCTATGTAATAAACTTTTTTCACTTAAACCTGGTGAGTTCATAATTGTCATCATCAAACCATTTAACATGCTGGCCAATGATGTCTCATTTGCTGTACCTTCTACTGTATGCCATGGGTGGGATAAGAATTCCACGGGTTCAAAAACTCCTCTGTAAATAACACATAACAGGTTTCAATGTCTTATATAGGAAAAAAAATATGTTACAATATGGAAACTTCAAGCATATCAACTAAGTTGTTTATTGTACCAGTCTATCTGAGAATTGGGTCATGTTTCTATCAGGGCACTGAATACAACAACTGTATTACACTCGATAAGCTGATCTTATTTACTTATTTATTAGAAAAAAATCCCTTTTACATGTACTGGAAAACATAACAGTTCATTCATATAAAATGATAAGCTCAATTTACTGCTCAGAATTATTTCTACTAGTAGACAATGTTTGTTGTTAAGATGCCAGTCATCTCTACAACAAGGATCATTTATACATTGCAGTACCAATACTACACCAAGTCACTGACTCATCACTCATCAAGCACAATAATCAAAAAAAATCCTAGTGCCAAAAATAAAATAGTTCCCAGTGTTGACCTTTTCACCACCAGTTCCCTCTTTTCATCAAAAATACGCAAAATAGTCCCGTTCATAGTCTGTACTTTCCTTCAGAAGATTGGGACAAAAATAGCCAATTTTTTTTAATTAAAAACTGAAAATGAACTCAAATTTTGTCTGTTGTTTCCAACATTAGGTTCCATTTCCTGAAATATTGAAGAATAAGAGTGCGAAAAAATTTGGGTGAGAAATGCCTGGTGGTGAAAAGGTTAATACATGACATATTGTATTATATAATGTAATCCAAACTCACTCTTCAAAAGATGTAGGTGTCTCTACAGATGTAGTTTCCTTCTCTTTACTTCTACCTTTCCTTGGAGTATCAGTTGGTGCATCAACTGGATCACTTTTTGATTGGATTGGATGAATTGGATCACTTGGAATTGATGAATTGTCTTTAAGTTTCAGTGAGTGGATCATCCATGGGGAAGCATGGTGTACAGAAACTAAAGTGGGTACGGAAATGCCAGCTTCAATTATCTGTCATTTAAATGTACAAAAATTTACTCAATTATAATTAATATGTATTCTCTGTGTAAAGCAAAATTACATGAAACAAATAATGGGAAAATTTGCAATACATGTATTAACAAAACTGAAACAATTCATTGAATTTGAATCTGGTTTGTAAAACCAAATGACAGGAATCAAGGTCAAGGATGGCAAAGACACTCAATTTTGATGCATTTTAAGCTTTAAATGGCTATCAACCATCTTTAATTGGATTGAGATGCTTGGGCATGCATGTGTGAAATTTGAACGTCGGCTGTTAGAAATGTACATTTCAATTAAAGAACTGAAGATATCACTAGAAAATGAACAATATGTATATTATCAAAACAATCGGACTTGCTGTTTTCAACAAGAATTCAAAAATATCACTTTTTACCAATAATATTCATCAAAATTAGATAATTGAAGATATCATCACGAAATGAACAAATCTAAGAGAGGTCTACCAAAAGTACATATACACCAAGTATCAAAGCATTCAGGCTTTTGTTTTTCAAGAAGAAGTCGAAAAAGTAAAAAATTGACACGGACGACGATGGACAATCACTCACATGATAAGCTCCACTTGACAAAGTCGACAGCGGAGCTAAAAATGAAAGTGGTAGTAAAAAAAAAAAAATACAGCTGAAACTGCTTCATAGTTTTGAAGGTAGGATAATATATTATTTGAACGTACCAGTGACTTATCTTGTAGTAGTTTTATCACCGTCTCCACTATCTCTCTGGACATGCCATACCTGCTGATCACACTATGCTGGTACATGTCACGTGTCGCAATTCCAAATTCCTTCTTACTCTCAATAACATTGTAGATCTCCACTAACATTTTAAGTACAGGTTCACTGTATCCTTGATCTTTACATGTATTCACAACATCATCTAATTGTGGCTTCTCACTGGGGACAATACTGTTGTTACACATGTCACTCAAGGACTTACACATCAATTGTTTTACACAATCCAAGGATTCTTCAGATTCATCCACCAGACATTGCTCTTGTTCCTTATTCTCACACTTAATACATGTATGAACACCGTCATTTCCTGATGTTAGAGTCACCAAAATAGTGCATGCATTGACTACAATGTTGTCCTGAGGGTTCAGGTTACGTTTACTAACAATTCCCGGAGCATAATGTCCACGGTATAACAGTAAGTTAGATCTTGAAGCTTGTCTGGGTGTCACATCAAAAGCAGGATTTTGTGAATTGACAGTTGATGTGCTTGGCAATGAAGTAGATTGTGTTCCAGAATTGACAGTCGATGTGCTTGCCACTGGAGCAGGTTGTGTTCCAGAATTGACAGACGATGTGCTTGCCACTGGAGCAGGTTTTGGTCCGGAATTGACAGACGATGTGCTCAACAATGGAGCAGGTTGCATTCCAGAAGTACTAGCAATAGGCTCTTGCAAATTATCTTTTGAAATGGATTGAGATTGCACAGTAGTTGTGTTCACCACTTCAGTGGATTTGTGGGTCTTGACAGGTGATGGCAGTATTGGTACAGGAGCAATAACATCATCATCATCATCGTCATCATCATCATCACTATCTGAACTGACATTACTCAAAGTCTGTTTACTAGAACTCAAAACTTTGTTCTCCATAAGGTCGCTATCCACAACTACTATCTGTTCAGGTACAGTCACATCGAAGAACATCTAGAAAAGATAAACTCTCAATTAATTGTCTCCTATGAAATGATAATATTATAACTATTTATAACCAGTCATACAGTGATAACTTCATTTTCTATGCAATGATAATATTATACAACTATTAATAACCAGTCACACAGTGATAACTTCATTTCTTATGAAATGATAATATTATACAACTATTCATAACCAGTCATACAGTGATAACATCATTTCCTATGAAATGATAATATTATACAACTATTCATAACCAGTCATACAGTGATAACTTCATAATAATTGTGCTGTTATACACATAATACACAGAACCAACATGCCTTTTCCTCCACATGAAATTTGAGAGTAGAATGGATTTTTTTTACACTGTTGAGCAAACAGTATATCACAGAAATCAAACTTTCCCTGCTGTCACTCATCAGGTCACTGGACCTTACCATGCAGGCTTCGGATGGCTACATTCAACCTGTATTATTCAGTAGTCAGTGTACTTGGTGAACTCTTAGGACAGCCAGAATTACTTATTGAGTCATAAATAGAATACCTACCTTTTTCATGGTCATTAATGTTGCCATAGTACACACTATTCCACCACAAGCTTCATTAGGGAATTCTACCCATCGCTCCTTGGGATCTAAAAATAAATTATGACTCAATATACCAATTCTATGACATTTTGATGACTTCAAAAGATGAAGTATAATAAAAAAAGATTGGCAACTATATTCATAACTCATTTCAATCAAGAAATGAAAATGCCATCTGATATGTAACACTTGCTATCCCTTTAGCAACTTTCTTTCCTTTTTGTAGTAGTAGTTATCACAACTAATCTTTATTGCTATTAACTGATAAGCAACTCTGTTTTTCAAAGGATGCAATCAAGTTATTATTATTATTATTATTATTATTATTATTAGTGTAATGATGATGTAGTCATCTACTGGTTTGTTTTACTTCTGACACGGAAACTTATTGGTAAACTTTATAGATTAACAAATGATGTTTTTCATGAGGGCATCATTAGTTTACAGAAGTGCATTATTAGGTTGGAATTATTGTCAAATTGCAGCTTCATTCGCTGTTTTTGTGATCAAAGCAAGCTCAAATAATGTGATTATATAAAATAAGATTATGGTTATTATGATGACAGCCTATATCATGTAAATTGGCAGCAGGACAACATAATGAACAATTCTGAGTTGATAATAATGTGTCTGTAACTTATCTTACCTGATGTAGACTTGGCAAGTTTTTGTAGGAAAGTTTTAACTTCCAGAAAGAGACTAGCAGGCATAAGACTTAGAAAGTATCTCTGGTAAGCTGCAGATAACTGGTAAGACATGGCAGCAAATGGCACATGACGAGTCGTTTTACAACCAGAAATTGCTCGCTATGAAAATCAAGTAAAAAGATTATTTAAAACTGAATTTATAATCTGATTCAATTTAAAAATATACACAACTCTTGAAATTTGAATCTATATTTCATATCAATATAAATCTTGTTGCACAGGAAGCTTAGTCTCTCAACCAATTGATGAAAAGGAGCAGCTAAACATCAACTATGAATGTCTCATGTATAATAGCAGTGAAATTCAGAGGGATTAATTAAACTTACTTTTCTGTTAACAAGTCCTCTATTTCTCAGTGTGTTGAACGCAGATTCTAATAAGTCAGTGGAGTACTGTTCATATATCTTGAATACTTGGTAGGAATTGTACTTACTAGAATCCATTAGTAGAGAAATCTAAAAAGACAATATCACAAAATGATCAAATGGGTAAAAATCAAAGGTCAATATATATTACAATACAAAGAAAACAGTGGTAAATCAATGATATTGTTGAGAATATAATTTAAATTCAACTTAAATTTCACAAATCAAGGAAATCAATATAGAGTGTTAATGAAGATTTCATTTGGGATTTCTAGGGATCAGGAATCACAAACTGATAGCAATGAAAAACAGTTTACTATTACATGTATAAGTAACAGTGTATGAGACACCTTGATACACAACATCATGATCATAGAAGGGGAGCTATATACTGCAACAACTATTGAATGGTATTTTTATTTACTAGTATTTGTGATATACCTGTATTAGATTGGTGAGCTGTGCTTTGACAATATCTCTTCTGGTTCTCACAACAACTTTATCATCAAAATTTATTTGCTGACCAACAGGAAGTAGTTTATATTGTTTATAAAGTTCATCTATAGTCTCAGGAAGGTCAAATTTCAGGTTAGCTGGCAATGAACTAGAGGACACAACAATAAGAGTTATTACGCCAATATAAAAACAAATATATTAATTTCAATGGAAAGAAAAAGTACAGATTACATTCAAATCCCAGCATATACTTTAATGTGTAGCTTTAACTGAGCATTACCTGAATTTTTCCTTCATACTAGCAACAAGTGCCACATATTCTTCAGCACATACTTGTGGATCAAAGTAATTTCCTTTAACTTTCATGATGTCTTTCAAAAGTTTCTACAAAATGGGAAAAACAAAAACACAATTAACACAGAATGATTTGTAAACATATGTCGAGATCATACACATGTGATTAAGATCATTAAGTCCACATGTGATCAAGATCATTAAGTCTACATGTGATCAAGATCATTAAATCCACATGTGATTAAGATCATTAAATCCACATGTGATTAAGATCATTAAATCCACATGTGATTAAGATCATTAAGTCCACATGTGATCAAGATCATTAAGGCCACATGTGATCAAGATCATTAAGTCTACATGATCAAGATCATTAAGTCCACATGTGATCAAGATCATTAAGTCCACACGTGATCAAGATCATTAAGTCCACACGTGCTCAAGAT